GAGGATTTTTGTTTTCTTGACATTGAGATGTAATCCATATTGAAGGCTGTGCTCTTTGATCTTCGTAAGTAAATGTTTTAGGTACACATATATTTATAATTTAAAGAGAGAAAGAAGCTTAAAGCTTCCAGCAGCCTGGTTCACCCCTAAGTCACGAGAGGTGCTTCCTCTTGCCTGCCCAGTTGCCATGTCCTCCCGTGCCCCTCCCGGGCCGGCCCATCTCTGACTTATTTCAGAGAACTGTGGGTGGGTGCACCATGCCCGGCCTGCTCTCAGATCAGTCTCGTCCAGGCCCCACACCCTAACACCAGGACTTTGCACTCACCCTGGGACACTTCACAGTAACTCCTCCTTGAGCATCAGTGCTCTTCCATCCTTCCTGGGAACAAGGGCTGCCTCATGCTAAGTAGTCACCCAGACAACTTCAGGGTCATCACCAGCCTGTCAGGGGAGCAGGCGCTTCCTTTGTTCACTTACTGAGCAAACATCTTGTGCCACACAATCTTATTACCTTTCCCATGTGACCGATGAGGAAACTGAGGAGCCACAAACCCACAGCTAGTAGAATGGCAGGGCATGAGTCCAGGGCATGTGTCTAATCCACGGCGTGGGTTAAATCATAGCTCCCAAAAGAGATATAGCCATGGTTGTAAATCCCAGAATCTGTGAAGATGACCTTATTTGGGAAAAGGGTCTTTGCAGCTGCAATTTCGTTAAGAATGTCAAAATGAGCTCATCCTAGATTTAGGGTGTCTTTTTATGGAGAGTTGAGGTCACAGAGACAACAGGGAGAAAGTCATGTTGAAGATGGAGGCAAAGATTAGATTGATGCTGCCATCTGCCAAACAACACCTGAAGTTCCAAAAGCTCAAGAAGCGAGAAAGCATTCTTCCCCAGAAACTCCTGAAAGGGAACACGACCTTGCTTTCAGATTCTGGCCTCTAGAACTGCGAGAAAATTAATTTCTATTGTTTTAAGCCACCAAGTTTAGGGTCATTTGTTATCACAACCCTTGGAAATGGATACACAGCACTGGCTGATGGTGCACCCCCCACCACTGTTACTTGTTGTTGTTATGTGCCGTGGAGTCGGTTCCGACCCATAGCGACCCTGAACAGGGTTTCCGAGGCTGTTAATCTTTACGGGAGCAGAAAGCCTCATCTTTCTCCCGCGGAGCAGCTGGTAGTTTCGAACTGCTGACCTTGCGGTTCACAGCCCGATTCGTAACCACTACGCTGCTACCACCACTGTTACTAGAGCATCAGAAATGAAAAAAAACTTCTGGACCCTTGACAAGAGATCATCCCAGAATAAGGATCCCAGTTTCTCCTCTTTAAACACGTTTGTTATGAATTAGCTCCAAGAGAGTGTTGTCTTTACAAGCTTACTATGAATTAGAAATGGGAAACGATTTCATGGCAGTGGTTTTGGTTTGGTACGGTTTGGGTCATAACTTCAAGATTATCAACGAAATAAAAACACAATCCGTGAAAGGTCTCCTGAAGCCAGTGGTCAACAATAGGGAAGACAAGGGAATGCTCTGTTCTCGTTCCATGATCATTCTGTAAATCTAAAACGGTACTAAAATTAACAGTGTATTGGGAAAGGAAAAACAAAGCTCTCGGGCACTCCTTGAGAGTAAGCTCTTTGAGGATCCAAGGGTAAGAACAGTTGCCCCGACTCTTTTCTGGCCAGAGCAGATCCTCATAAGGGATCACCAAATGAATGGCCAGGTTTCTGATCTCCAGATTCAGATGAGATGGAAGAATCTGTCTGGAGCGCTACTGCTCACCTAGGATACCCTTTTCCCCTCTCCATCTGTGGTCCAAGAAGATCCCACTCTCGACCAGCAGAGAGAGGCAACCGGCCCCCGCCCCTTCAGTCTCTCTTTTCAAAGTCCAGGTGCAGGGAGAAGCCTGAGACCCACTGACTGACTGCACTAGGTTTCTCTTTCGAACACCCTGTTTCCAAAGTGGCAGAAAATGCACACAGGCCAAAGAAACCCTGGGAGACAAAGCTGAATGAAACAGAATAGCAAAATGTGAACTAGGAATCCAGAAGAGCAGATAAGAAAAGAAAGAGTAACAAGAGAAAGAAAAGGCGTGAACTACAAAGCCTCAGGATCCTTGGCAAATACACTGGAGATTTTGTTCCACTGCAACGTCAGTGTGGGGGCCAGTTTCTCACATCCCCCCCCCCAAAAAAAAGACCGGAGCTGTGACCAAGGAGGATGTGACCTCTTACTCTCAAGCCAGACTTCAGGCTTGGCACGGTCCCCACACATTCCCACCTGGGGCACATCTACGGTTCACACGCCCCTGTCCAGGAGTTTCCCAGACCTCCAAGTACTCCAGATGGGCCAGCTCCTCCAGCCACCCCTGCCCATCCGCCCCACCTATAGCCCCCCAGGCCACCATGGACCAACTAAGGCAGCCACACCCGCCCCAGGCTCCCAGGCCTCCCACACCCCAGGCCCTCTTTCCTTCCCACCCTGCCCCCACTCCACCCCCGGCTTCCTCAGAATTCACCTTCCATCCTCTGCCCCCGCGCTTCGTGCCCACCCCACCTCACCCCGAAATCCCAGAACCCCCATTTCCCGCGTTCCTCCTTACTCTGGGTGCTGCATCCCTCGGGCCAGCATGCACACCCTCTCTACTCCCACGGCCCCGAGACCGCTTCTCACGCCCCTCACTCCGGGGCCCCATGTCGGGGCCCCTCGGCTCACATTCCAGGCCTCGACTCAACCCCAGGGACTCGCGCCAGGGCCCCGCGGCTCCGGGATCCTCACACTCGGGTCCCGGAGTTCCCGCAACAGGGAGTCGGGCCACCCCCTCACGGCCCCCGGCTCAGCGGGCCTCGTGCGCAGTCCCCACACGCCGCCCGGCCCTCGACCCAGCCCGACGGCCCTGCACTCACTGCTGTAGAGAGCGATGCTCGCCGCGTCCGGGCCAGCGCGCACCTCGAGGCGCAGCGCCTGCTGCTCCGCGTGCCGCTGGATCTCGCCGTTCGCGTCGCCG